TTATATCCTATGTTTCAAACAACAAAACCAATATATGTTGTATGTAATGCCTGCTGAGCATATTAATGAATTAATGAAATCAAGGATTTAATTAATGAAATGAAGGATTTATACTCGTGATATTTATCATGTGATGCAGTTACAAGAGTACAGTAAAATTTTTGTTTAAGCAATCTAAATCAAATTTCTTGTAAGAAAAATGAAACTTCACTAACTTTCCATTGCCATAATGAGTAAAATAAAATTAATAACTGATTCATTAAAATCTGAAGGACAAAGTCACCATTTAAATTTTAAAAAGAATCAATATTAGTATAAGTTCTGTCGTGAGAGTCTTCTTGAAATATAACACACTGATATTCAAAATTAAGAGAATAATGTTTTTTCAAATATTGAACGAAAGTTGGAAAGTATGTGGTTAAATAATTACACAGTAGGGCTGATGTTAAATATGTAATCACACTCTTTCATGTAGGTGATGTGACAGTGATAGATATAAAAAGTAGTCATTTGTTGCTCTGTTGTTTGTACACATCAGCAATAATCATAACATTTACTGCAAGATTTTGTTACATTTATCACAACTGTGATATGAGCAAACACCAAAATTTACAAGATATAATGAGATGGATAATCATTGGTAGATTGGAGGTGGGACAATCCTGTGTTCAATTGGCAAGAGAGCTTAATTTAACACTTAGTGTTGTCTGCAATTTGTGGAAATGGTTTTAGAAGACTGTATCCATACTCAGAAGGCCTAGGTAAGGGTGTCCAAGATTTGTGATACCCAAGAAAGATCAGTATTTGGCATGTTCATCCAGATGCCAGAGAAGTGCTACAGACACAGAGCTCTCCCATAAGCTCAAAGTTATCATTGAAATCCTTATTAGTCTCTTAAAGTTTCATGAAAATTTTTTGCAGAAAACCCACTGCTTGCATCCTACTCACTCTCTCACACAAAAAAGTAAGTCTGGCATAGTGCAGAGAATATCAAATTAAAACCCAATTTGAATGGGGCCAAGTTTTCTTCAGTGTTGAATCTAGATTTAGCCCAGACACTGATTTTTGGCATACCTTCATTTGGAGAGAAAAAGGGACCTGATACCTGTCCATCTTTAAGGAAATAAGATTACTGTGATGTCAGACATGTCATAATCTGAGCATTCATCACATCATATGACTGCATACTATTTTACTGTGACAGCAGCTTCTTGGTTACCGTTATAGAAAAGAGATTTAGAATTCAAAAGTATCTTTTCAGGGATGCATTTAATTCAGTTTCTTTTTATGGATGACAAAACTCATCTATGAAGGACTCAACTAGTGGGCATATCATCAGAGTTAAGATATTTATAGATGAATTGATCAGGTAGATTTACTGACATCAACCAGATTGAACATATTTGAGATACACTTGAGAGAGCAATTGCAATTCACCAAGCGCCTCTGAATATCATTCAGGAATTATGAACTGCTTTGATGCAAGAGTAGATGCAGCTATCACAGGGACTCATTAACAGTATGATGACTATGTGCAGCATGTCAGTCTGTTAGAAGTCAACATACTCTCTATTAAATCTTGACTTAGGTGCCATCTTACAGCATCAGTTTTGGGTATTACAGCTTTCATGAACATAACTGACAGTCATGACTGTGTACATTCACTATTACATAATATAAATTGCTTAATTGTACTGTGTAACTTTATACCAAATTTCATTAAATTCTCTCTGATATTTTTTCAAATTCTGAAAAAGGTGTTAATTTTCTTAATTTTAAACACTGGTGTTTTTTAACTTATTTTACATTACATCTCTATAAAACACCAACTGCAACTCTTTATCTGAAAATGCATTAACTAATAATTAGTAATTCTATTCTAACTTTATAACTTTTATTCTATTCTATTCTAACTTTATAGACTCATCTAATCTAAAACGTTGCAACAGAATATACTGTAGGGGAGAAAACCATACATTTTACAGCTGAAGCTAATATATATCAATATATTAGTTACATAATTTTTGTAGTAATTATACTGTATGCAATAGGAATAAATCTTCACATGTACAAATCGGATGGCTTGGAATTTTGTGTGGCAAAATTGTAAATGACTATGTTAAAGCCTAAAGTATTTTCAAATTTTACATTTAGAAAGATGCCTTATTTGATATGTATAGCATAGTCTTCACATATAAAATTTTATTTAAACAAGTTCATAACTTGCCCATCCTAAAAAATTTATTTGTATTATGTAAACGTCTTTATGAATATTAAAGGTAATATAGTATACTATTACCATAAAACTTTATTTAACTATTATTTGTAAATAATTCCCCCAAAAATAAATTTTATTTGATTTATTTTTTTTGAGTTACTATATCATACTTATTATAAAATGCAGATGTGAACGCACAAAGATTTTAATTTAGAATTTTCTATACATTCCAAAAAGTGGATGAACAATTGGAAATAATTTCACGTACAACCTTAATAATCACTATAAAAATTTACAAAACATTCAATTACTGTATATATTTAATGCAAAATAAACTGCACTGGAAAATATGTATAAAATTAGTTCAATTAATTATAACAAACATTCCAAGGCTGTCTTTTGAAATGAAACAATACCTTCATGGATAGTCTTGAGAAAAGATGGCTGATACTTATGTTGTACATGGAATAATGCAACCTATTCATTCACTGGGTATCAAATAAGTAAACATACAAGCATTCTTGGTTTTAGCAATAAAATTATCAGGTGCTACCTTGTAAATTTGTTCTTTCTCTAAAATTGTTAGATTTTTTAAAGGACTGCAATAGCATTTGAAACTTTTTTTTTTTTTTTTCACATTTAAGCTAGTATGTGTTCCAGATATAGTAAAGCGATCTGTCATTTGTATGTACATAAACAATTAATATTCAACTTTAACATAAATACTTATTCAATTAAAAATTTCATTCATTTATTAAAAACCTACTGCATCAGTTATGATTATTTTTTAAGAATTAGAATTAAATTTAATGATTTCTTAGCTTGAACAGGAAAAAAAAAATATATAATGAAAAGATATGATATATTCAGAAATACAATTTGTTTAAAATAGTTTCCAAAATCTGAACTCAACAGGTTTTAGTAAAAATCTAATTCATTAGTAAAATGGTTTTTATGATGTTATACATAATTTCTCACTAGTAGGCACTCACAAGGCTATGAAGGAAAATTTTATCAAGAAATATCTGCTAAACAAAGTGCATCCGCCTCCTACTTCAACTGCTTACAAACTTGGAAACTGTTCATTAACGAATGTTTCACTGTGTGTATGTCTATGCATATATACGCAAATTTGCCCCCTCTATATATTTATATATTTCATAAGTTTCAATATGTATGCCTTTTTAAAAATCAATCATAAAAATAGGATGAATATTATTAAATGGACCAACAGATATTAAGTTGAAATATCAATGATTAATAATGTTTTAATTCAGAAATTTAAACTAAAAGATCAGATTTTCTGCACTTATTACATAAGCTGCCCTGTAGTAATTTATATCTTTAAAAGGATTGGCTTTATATCTTTAAGGTTTATCCTCCTTTTTGATGACATTAAATAAAAGATAAATATCAGAACCCCATGTTGCCCTTTCAAATAATACACTAAATGAAAAAGCAGTATCATTTAAAAAAAAAAAAAAAAAAAAAAAAAAAAAAAAAAAAACATTACATTCTAAAACTCATTAATTCTGATATTCAAATAACAAAAACAAAAACCTGAATAACATTTTATACAATGAAAAATGTGAACACAAGTTATAAAACATTTGTTTTGAGCACTGTCATATTACACAGCATAATAAAAAAGTAAAATTATTTTTATCATAATTTCTAGTGTTAAAAACAAAATCTTTCAAAGTAATACATCTCTTAATCTGCAATACATCAACACCAAAAACAAAAGATTTATTTAGTTATATCGTTTATCAATCAATAAACATGAATGATTGAAAATTAATAACAAGAAAGGCAGGGTATAATGCTCCCTCCTCTAATGGAAAATATCACATAAAAAATCACTTCACAAATATATAAGACATATATGGAATTATTGGACACTGATAAATGCTCCAAATATGCTCACATACCAACAGGAAGCTCAAATGAGTTTTTATGATAAAATTCTATACTGACTACTTCAGCATCACACAGACCTATAACGTATAAATGCTAAGTATTATAAAGCATACATATACTGCACTAAATCTAGAATAGCATAGCTTTTACATATATCATTTTAGTCAACATCAGGCTAAATACGAATGAATTAGCTATGCATATTGATTAGCTAAATACAAATGAAATAGCTATGCATACTGATTAGGCTAAATACGAATGAAATAGCTATGCATACTAATTACAGTTTTGATCATATTAAAAGAAAAATTTTTTTGAATGTAAAAAATATTTGGTACTCTTCTGTCATCGGGACCAGATTCAGAAATGTGTGCATGTACGTAGCGTATTCGGAAACTAAGTACCATTTCATTCTAGCGCCGTCGCAGCGCTGTGGTAGGCATCCCGCGCATGTGTGCGGGATGCCTAACACAGCGCTGTTCTTTCTTGCCTCTTCTTGTTCACCGACTTGCTCTATGTTGTGTTTTCAGTTTGCTGTGCACATTCAAAATGTTTAAGACAATTAGTTCTCCCGCTGACTGTGAGATTCGTGCCGTGATTAAATTTTTGAACGCAAGGAATGTTAAACCAGCCGAAATTTATCGTCAAGTGACAGAAGTTTACGGTGAATATGCGATAAATGATGGAATGGTGAGGAAGTGGGTAAGAATGTTTACTGCAGGTCGAACAAATGTCCCCGCCGAGGCTCGGAGTGGTCGGCCTTCTGTTGTCACCGATGATTTGGTAAGGAAAGTTGATGAAGCAATTCATGATGAGAACAGACGCTTCACAATGACAACTCTTTCAGAGGCATTTCCACAAATTTCACGTACTGTTTTGTTCAAAATTGTGTCTGACTGCTTGAATTATCGCAAACTGTGTTCCCGATGGATTTCAAAAATGCTCACTGATGTTCACAAAACAAAGCGACTTGGTAGTGCCCAGACATTTCTCATGCAGTACAGTACGTGATGAGGGAGAGAAAACTTTTTAAACCAAATTGTGACAGGTGATGAAACTTGGGTGTGTCATTTCACACCAGAATCGTCGAAACAACAATCGATGGAGTGGAGAAACACTCATTCTCAAAAAAAAAAAAAAAAAAAAAAAAGTTCAAAGTGACAATGTCATCACAAAAAATCATATGCACTGTCTTCTGGAATAGGAAAGGCATTTTGCTTACTGAATTTCTTCCAGAGGTAAAACCATTAATGCGACACGATATTGTGAGACTTTAACAAAACTAAGGCGTGCCATTCAAAACAAACGAAGAGGAATGCTCAGTAAAGGAATTGTGTTGCTCCATGACAATGCTCGGCCCCATACTGCTGGTGTCACTGGTGTAATTCATAAGCTTGGTAAATCTGTACATTTAAGAGTGTAAATAAGCTTATAGATATACTGTGTATTTTTACTTCCAATTCTCACTGAACCTGTAAATGAACCACTTTTGTTTCATGATAAAAATGTTTCTTTTTTTACAAATCTTAATTCATAAACGAATGATTATGAGTATAAAATACAGTTATCACTGAATGGCTCTCAAATAAGCCATATATCAAACACATCAATTTTGAAATATTTGCAATGAAAATGAGGCCACAGAGAAATCCATCACAAAAAGTTTGACATAAAATTATGCTAAATTAATGCAAAAATTCAGTATTTTTAAAACCAAAATGAATCCCTGCTCATTGAAAATAAAAAATTTAATTGTCTAATACTTTTTATAACAATTTTATAGATTTATTTTTAAAAAAATTATTTTGTATTAAAACAAAACTGATTTTATACTGCCATGTAACTCTCTAATTATTGAACATTTTAAATTTAATAAACTTTTAATAATAACTAACTTACATTAAAAACTGGGTTTGTATTCATTATGAAGTTTGTATAAATTATCTTTTTTCATTTTGAAAATTATCCAGTAGGGAATGTACAAAGAAAATATATTTTACCTAGGTGGGACTTTAATTCTACTGTATTTTCAGTTATTGGGCATTAATTTAAAAGTTAATGGAAACTGCTAATTATCTGAAGCCTCGTATCTGATTTCAATATGCTGATGAAAAACGAGATTCTTGAGTAGGAAGAGATTTATGGATTTTTAACATAAAGATTAGTAACAGAGTTTAATAAAAAAAACACACCATTAACCCTCAAAGTAAACTTCCATATAGAAGGTTGCTTTTCCAATTTACACACGAAAATTTCTACCAGCTCCTGGTGGATCCACGTTCAGATTAGATGTATATTAGAAGAAAAAGAATCGAGGTACAAAGTGAAAGTGTCATTTTGGAATTACAATCAAGAAACTACCATTTTTTACTCAAATCTTGGGGAACATTCAAATTTATGCTCAGAGGATTTAAATAATTCCCATAAAATAACTTACAAATAATGATTTTTAAGCACTGCTGTCACTGGAATAGGAAGTGAAAATGTCCTTTAAGGAAAACAAAAATGATTTTCAATAAGCAGAAGAAAACATGGGAAATGCAAATACTAAACATACCAATTCATACTAATAAATTAGTATTAACACATCTTCCTTTAAAGTATACCTGTTTAAAGTAACATGCATTTGAAAAATACAAATATTTATATACAATAAAAGATATCAGTGTGTAAAAAATATTTAGTAAATGCAGAATGTTAAACATATAATAGATTGATAGAAAAGACAAAAAAATATGAAGCATTGAATTTGAATATTCCAATTACAGTAGCTCACTTCTAAGAGCATTTTTGCGGTGAAACCGAAATTTATAATTCACATCAAAATAATATTTTGAATTATTAAACTATGAAATTTATTTTGGATTATTTAAAATTATGAAAATTTTTAAGATGCATCCTTAATTAATATTATACAAACTAATTTCAACATCTTTGTTATCTAAAAAACAGATTTACCAATATCAGATAAAATACTAAAAGATTAATATTATTGTGCTTACAAACTTAAATTCCATAAGAAAATCTAACTCACTGAGCAGCTAGTCATTTAAGGCTCCCAAAAAGCTATAGTTACACTGCATTTATTAACTAGATTTATTTAGTCATCAATTTTATTGTTTGTTTCCATAATAATTTGTCCGTTAAGATGGTATCTAGATCATTTGTACGGGTTTGTAAAAATATTTTAAATAACCAAGTAATATACAGAGTGACCCCTTCCTGAAAAAAAGTGGTAATATATGTGAAGTATCATTACAATTTTATCTGATAACCACAAAAAAAGGGTCAAGTTAAATGGAATGTTAAACAATAGTTACATCAACTGAAACTTTTTATTTATTTATTTATTTATTGAGGAATTCATTTGCTGTGAATTACTGACTAGATAAATTGCAATGCATAAGACTGATTATTATTATTATTTTTAATGCTGTTTTTGTTTTAAACACAGATTGTATGCAATTAAGCATCAATTTTAAAATTTTGTATTCAGTAAAATGATCCCCTTTAAAGAAGTTCATTAGATGCTTTAAAATATAATGAGCCTATAGTTTCTAAATAGATTAATGAGGTTTGTTTCACAAAATATTAATAAAAATCACATATTTAATTTTTCATTTAATGTTCATAGCTTTGTAGAATTTGCAAATGGAAGTTCTAACTAAACTTTCCCAAGTTTTTGAAATTTCAATCCACTCTCTTAAGAATGACACTTAAAAAAAAAAAAAAAAAAAAAAAAAAAAAAAAAAGACTAATTGCAAAAACAGTTAAGAAAGAATGTACAAAAGCTACTGAATTCTATTTATCGCAAATCATGTAATTTCTTAACATAACTGGACTAATATTATGAATAAAGAATTAACTGAGCCAAACAAATTAATAATTTTTCCTTGCGCATTTAGTATTAAATGTTAGCATTTTTAATTACAAGAAATAGCTACATTTTAAATAACATGATTATTCATTTCATCCAAAATGGAACATAGGAATAACAACTTAATATATATTTGATGCTTACAACTAACTAGGGTTCTAGATTTCAGCATTTTCATTTTTACAGTAATTAATATTATTTTTTTATAAGGCAAACAATATCTTTAAAAAGCATGATATTTAGCAATATGCTTTCTAAACAGGGCTTCCCTTTCAGAAAATGAAAGCTAATGTGGTTTCATGTCTAAGTGACAGTAGCTGAACAACTTTATGCCTTACAGGTATGCATTTGCTTTGAAAAATAAGCCAAATAAAAAGCAAATTAATTTTTTAACAAAACAACTAATAATATAATCAATTAGATGACAGTAAATAGCTATATTTAAATTTTAAGTATTGATTTTTTGCTTCAATTGATCTTCCATTTCTATCAATAAAATGAGTATCACCAGCAAAATCAAACATAAATGCATCTAAATATTGTGACATCATTAACAACACACAGAAATAAATATATAGGAACCAAATTTAAACTACAATATCAACAAGTTCATTTCAGTTAATATAGTTTCATATTCTTATGATATTTGATGTAAAAAATAAACAAAAATTTTTCTGAGATTCCTCATGTTATATTACAAAAAGCATCTTCAACTACTTGCAAAGAAAAAACAAGATACAGTAAAAACTTGTGCGTCATGCACTGTGAGTAATTCAAAACATTTACTCATTTCAGTGATGTTTAGATGCTACATACTGCTGAAATTTCTCAAAATTCATGTGGATTATACCAAAAGTGAATTTCTATGAACATCTTTTGGTGTGCCTAATATTTCCTCAAGTATCCATCCTGACACTAAAGCTCCCATCTCCTTACTATTCTCTAGCACAAATGCATGTTCAAAATTATTTTTACATAGTCGAATGTCTCCCTGAGGAAATATTTCTCTTAGATCCTGATAATAGGAATAAGGACACCAGTTGTCATTAGCTCCATAATAAAAAGTAATACGAGAAATGTTCTCTCGAATATTATCAACATCTAAAGTAGTGACATTTTCAAGCTCATCTCGAGCCATGTACATACAAAGTTTGGCACAATCAGGTTGAAATAAATTAAGACTAGCATTTAGAACACAATCAGGGATGCAGCGGTCTTTAAAATACCATTCTAAAAGTCTGGATTGCATTTGTGGGCTTAAACAACTAAGAGCATACACACTAATTAATGCTGGAAGACGAAGATATGTCAACATTGGCCATACCCACTGACCCTGCGGAGTTGTTGACATTCTTTCTATGGTTGGGAAGAGAAGAAAGCAACGTGTTACCTGTATGAAGAGATAGAAATATTAAACACATTTATATATTTGTGCTAAATATACAAAAAAGGCCTTAAAAGTAAATAAACTTCTAAACTACTATTAATGAAATTTAGTACTATAAATTTTATAATTTTGTGTTACAAATACCAGATTTTTTCAAAAACTGAATGGCCATATAAAATTAACTTTTCAAAAAGACAGAGAAAGGTATCGCATTTTTAAAAGAAACATTATTTCAATGACTCAAAGTATCTCAGTTACATCAAATAACTGCATGCAGCTTCATTAATAACACCAATTTTAGGAGGGAAGGAGGGGACATCATCAATTATTATGCAGAATTTCTAAAAATCGTTAGTTATTTTTATTTATGGAAAAAATATATATATAGCTTTTTTCTTTTTTAAATCTAATGATAGGCACTAGCTTATTCAGCATTGGGTACTCCTAAGGCTAGAACTGGTGGTCATTTTATTGTGAAGACGTCTAATAGATGGCCACCGTTGCCTCTCATGAAGGAATGGACAGTTAAAACATGCCTATAGCAGGCTCTTCTAACCACTATACTATATGGGCAGCATTTATAGAAATATGAATGTTACAACATAAAAATTTTGAATACCCGAAGCACATCAAGCTTCTTTTATCAAGATTGAGAAGAATAGAGATAAGGCATATACTTTAAAGAAAATGCAAAAACTCTAAAGTAGTCTTTCTTAAAGAAAATCTCTTAACAGTAAGAAAGCTAGAAGAAATAGGAAACTGAAGCAAACAAGAGAAGAGGGGAAATAATTCATTTCTAAAGGAAATGAAAAAAACTGAGCAAAATGCAATGCTGCTTTTAATGCTATAGAAGAATATGCATACCAAACATAGCTTTTCAACAAATAACAAGCGGCAGCAAAGGTGAAAAAAAAATTTTTTTGGTTTATAAACTAATCATTTTATAAAAGAAAATAATAATTTTCTTTTTATTTTGACTTTAAGGCATCAAGACCCTACCCCTTAATACTGAAATGGACCACACCCGGTCTAGCTCAGCGTGTAAGGATGATCTTTGACACAAAGGAGGCGTTTTCGGAATTTTGTTTTATTCTGTTCGGACAAAAAGCCATTTTTTGGGTCACTCAGGCCCGGCGCGAGTAAACATGTTTCTAATTTCGAGTTTGAAGTGCACCGAGTTCGTAGCACAACATGGCTTCACAGATAACATATGATGAAGAAATGGAACGATTACATAATTTGCTAGATGAAGTAGTAGTGGACTGATGACGAATCTATCGAAGGTGATGATTTATTGTCTGATTGTGATGAAATATTCTAGTGGGCATAATACGTCGTCTGATGAAGAAATCGAGACTGATGAAGAAGACTCTATTGATTCTAAGTTCAGTTGATTGTTTTATTGGAAAAGATACAAAGACAATTTGAAAGAAAACAAGATTTTGTCAAAATGTTCGAACTTTATTGCAAAATATTATTTCAAAGTTGCCTGAAAATGTTGGTGTGGAAAAAAAATGTAACTTCTCCTCTTGATTCTTGGAGTTTATTACTGGATGAAAATATCTTGAATACGATCATCACTTGTACAAATATATATATTGACACCATCAGTGACAGATTTCAGAGAGAACGCAATGCTAAAAAAAAAAACTCTCCGAAATTAAAGCTTTTAATGGTATATTATGGTGCACAGATGGAACGGGGATAGAAATATTTCATAGGACCATGTCTCATAATTGTTTTTTGTTTTTTATGAGATGCATAAGATTTGACGATGTTAGAAACAGGCAAATGAGAGAAAAGAAATGGACAAACTTGCCCCAATAAGATTATGTATTTGGCTCATTTGGGCATAATTGTCAGGAGTTTTACACAGCTGGATCATATGTTACAATTGACGAAAAACTCGAACCATTTAGAGGACGCTTTCATTTCGACAGTACATGCCAAAAAAGCCAGCTAGGTATGGAATAAAGATGTTCGCTCTTGTTGATGCAAGAACTTCTTTACATGTAATTTTAAAGTTTATGCAGGTACTCAGCCCTAAGGCCCATATCATCAATTGAAGTCGTCAAAAGGTTAACAGAAAAGTTAAATTCTGGGAGAAATGTAACAGTCGACAACTGATATACTAGTTATGAACTTGCAAAGTATCTCCTTCAGAAAAACATTACTCTAGTGGCACCATAAGAAAGAACAAGAGGGAATTTGTGAACAGTAAAAATCGTAAGGGCATTCATCCTTGTTTACATTCCAGAAAGTCATGACTTTAGTGTCGTATATGTCCTAGAGAAAAAAAAAAAAAAAGAAATGTTAACATCTTCTCTACAATGCATAACGACGACGCTATTGACCAAACAACAGGTGACGCAAAAAAAACCTGAAATAATAACATTTTATAATTTGACGAAAACAGCTGTTGATGTGGTGGACCAAATGTCAGCAGCGTATTCAACTGCAAGAATCAGCAAAAGATGGCCAATGGTTCTGTTTTACACTGCTAAATACTGCTGCAAATACTGCTGCAATCAATGCTCGAGTATTACTCCAATGCTCAAAACATCCATCCTTATAGCACAGGAAACGGAGTCAGTTTTTGAGAGATCTTGCAACAGATTAAAGACTACACAGCGAAGAGGTGCACTGTACCATAACTTCCTCGACATTTGTAATAAAAACTATCTCCCAAGAGCAAACAACTACTGCTAAAAAACAGAAAGTAATTGAGAGAAAAAGGTGCTATATTTGCCCAAGTTCAAAGGACCGAAAAATCTAAGATAATATGTACAAAATGTGAAAGAAATGCCTGTGAAGATCATTCTGTTTAACATGTACCAATTGTACATTAAAACTTGGTAAGTTTTTTTAAAAAATTCTATACACATATTGAATAAAATTAGAGCTCTAATATTGTCTTAAATTATGTTGTTAGTAAATGCTTAATGGGGTGTTTAATGACTTGCATAAAATATAAATCCATAAACGGACCTCGCAGGCCCGGCATAGTACGATTAGCGACGAGTAACGCCGGGTGTTAAAAAGCATTTATAGTATATTTTTTAACTGATATTACTCTTATAAATCCATCAATGTGGGTATGAAATCAATGTCATTAATGCAAAATCTAAGACAGGGTTCGTAGCCACATTTTAGTTACAAAAATAAGCACTTTTCAAGCACATTTTAAGGAAAAAATAAAGCACCTGTCTAATTACATTATACAACTGCATACCTTAAAAAGAAAAATTAGACTTGTATTTTAAATATGAGCAATGCAATATTTATTAAAGAAAATGAGCATTACCTCAACCATGGAAAACAACTTTTTTTTTTTTTAAATTTTAAATGACAGTTCAATTTACAGAATTAGTTTATAATGAGAGGGAAAAAAAACTATGCAGAACTAAAACTATATTACAAGATTAATGATGAAATTTCAGTTCAAAATATAGAAAACAGGGGCGTAGCTACAGGGGGTATTGTCCCCGGGCGCAGAATCCAAGGGGCGCCAACTGATGTTACGACATTTTAGAATTAATGTTTTCCATCCTTGGCAAGCAGTAGGGGATGCGAAATCTTCAGTTGTCTCGGGTGCTGAAAACCCTAGCTACGACTCTGATAGAAAATAAATAATAATAAGCCATATTAATTGTATTCGTTGGCACCTAATAATAAATACAATTTATTTTTCCACTCATATTAATATTTAAATAATTTAACTTAAATCAAAATTCTGAACATTTCCTAAATTTCATTGCATAACAGTTTTCCCTAAGCAAAGTAATTTAAGTAAAAAAGAGGCACATTTCTGAAATCAGAAGACAGGAAATTGCTTCATGCAGTCTCCTTTAACAGTAAAAGCTTAACTAACCCGAATACTCGGAAATTGCCGAATATTCTGGATAGTAACGGAAAAAGAGGAGTGGGGAGATTGTAGCCGTTCTTTAGATTTAAATTTAGGCTAAATAAATGATTTGACATTTAATATGTGCATCATATAAAAATAGACCACGGAACTGAGAAATAATCTGCTTAGAAAGCACAGTAAAACTCTTTTAAGTGTTCATAAACAAATCTCAGACTGACATCAAAATTAATTATCTCTGCAAAACACCGCAAACATTATTGTGCCATACGTGCGGCGTAATTCTTCCACGGTAGGGTACGAACGCGGCAAATTTGATTGAAGATCCTCGTCCCCCAGTTATCTAATCCATGAACTGCGCGACATTTCCTGTCCCTATTTCTTTCCCAAGAACATTGAGTGCTACAAAAAGTCATTTATCGCCATTTAATGGGACATTTGTAAAAATTGTGCATGCAAAACAAGTATTAATTTAATGTCTGGCGTGTGCTAAAGTAAAAATTAATTTCTTTTACACTCACTCATTTAAAGTTTTATGATGCTTAAAGGATGAGAACCAGACCTTTTATTCTGAAGAATTAAAAACTTTCCAAGTTGTAGATTTAGTCGTGATAGATAAATATATTATAATAGTAAAATTGATAGATTAATGACATACACAAAACTATACATAATCAACCTATCAAATATCAGTTCACCTTAAATAATTTTCTTGTCTAGATAAATATTAACAAATTTTCTTAGATAGCAGAATGGTTTTAACTTTCAAATTTACATTTTAGGTAAACAGTTCTAATTTAATTTAAAAAAATTCTCTTTATTAAATCTAAAATTTGGACTTCTTAAGTCGTTCTAATTCACACTAATATTATTGCAATATATTACCGTATTAAGCTTTCCATTTTTAGTCATTGAAGTTATTTTAAGGTTATTTAACTTTGTTACAAATTCCATATTTTAATACTAGAAACGTTTAAATATTTATTCTGTTTTCCACCTGATGTACTTTGAAATACATTTAATTTCTAATACACATTTAATTAATAAATTAATAATTATGAGCGTCAGCAGAATTTTCATAATTAACAAAAAAAAAATTTCAAACTCCCTTATATTCATATCCTGGGATTTTCAGTTC